ATCCCTGTGTTCATCAGCATTGGGAATCAGTGCTTTGGTGGGGATCCACATTTTTTAGGGAAGCCCTCTCAAAGCTCCCCCAATTATAAACAGCATGAGCAATGGTTTTAGAATAGCAAGGGGTCTGCACACTCACCGTCTCCTTGCATACCCTTTCATCGTGCTGGGTTAGTTCATTTTGGTAAAGAGGGCAAACCTGTTTTAATAGAAAAAATAACTATTGAAGTGCTGAACCTGTATTAAAGACACAGGTTCAGTACTCTGTATTGGTCTACAGAAACACTTCACCATTCACAGTCACTTAATCCAAACCAGGGAATAGTTTGAATACTGTGCAATGTGAAAAATAGGGGAATTTCAGTATGAATCTACATGCACTGTTTAATAAATAGAATGAGTAGTACAGTGAAACACTTTCCTTATTGAAGAATAGATGTGAGCTGGGCGAATGTTGTTTAACCACCTAAAGACCATCATATTAAACCCCCTTGGTATCCAGGCCATTTTTTAGTTTTCAGCCCTGAGATATTTTGACTGACATTTATTCAATCATTAAACACTGTATCCAAATAAATTACATATGATTTTTGGGACAGACATAGTGGTGGTATTTAATCACTTTTTTATTTTTGACTATATAAAGAAAAAAAAAGTGTCCCCTGTGCTATTATGAAACTGTAAATAAATCATGTTCTTGATACATTTAGGCCAAATGTATTCTGCTACATTTCTTTGGTAAAAAAAATAATATATATTATTTAGAAAGTGGATGAATGATTGGTCAGAGCAATCACTATTGGATCTGTACCTTTGTTTTGAGAATGGCACTGTCCAATGGACACTGAGTTCACAGTGAACTGCTAGTGTGAGCACTAGGGGGTGTGTGAGCAGTGAAGAAAAACAGCTGTTTAGGTATAGCAACCCACTAATGTTATTTTCTGTCGCATATATCTCCTTCAAAAGTGGCTGAAAACCTCTATGATAAATAGTGTAAATGTGCAACAGGTGGATTGCCCAATGAATCAATATTGACTAGACTCCTTGGTGTCCTGGAATATTTTTTTAGAAAGATGTTCAGGGCTGAGATGAACTAAGTACATCTGGGATTATAAATGTTAAATATGTATTCAAAATTAAAGTCTTAGCTTCACCCTAATGGGCTGAATAGCTACATTATTATATTTACTGAAATGTTTACTGATATTTTTCATACAATTTGTTGTTTTGTAATGTGTCATTATATTTTGTAGAGCTATACAAACCTATGTATGGTGATATAGTTGATCTTTTCCCTGGGGTAAATGACAATTGTCCTATTTTTACATGGCTAAGATGTACTAGGGGTGGCTTTGTTATCCTTAATATACTGTAAATATACAATAAATAAAGAGTATGCTCACAATGAACAATATTAAAGGAGTTGTATATGCATGACCTAAATTTCCTCACTGCAGTGGGAAACACTTTAATTTTTGCTGTGACATCATCTCCAGACTTGTAAAATGCTTGCAGGGGAAGCTTCTGGGAAAACGGATCAGAAGGGTGCTGTAGGTCAGTTCCTATTAATGTGGGCATGCCACCCTCAGAGTCTCCCAAGAGCCCTTTCTTTACATACAGCACTGTTTTTTTAGAAAATAAATTGATGTATGCAACAAAGGTAGGGTTGACCGACAACAACAGGTAGTTAGGAGCTCACTGGCTAATTCTTTGCACCTACATTTTTAAAGGAATAAAACATGTATTGCAGAGATGTTTTTTCCCTAGTAGTACACTTTAAGCCTAAGAAAATTATGCACTATACATATCTTCCAGATGTAAAAAAAAGCTAAAGGTATGCTTATTCTAACTGACATTTTGGTGGTGTGGATACCAACTTTCTTGACGTAACATACTAACAATGGGTTACTCACTATATAAGGAACCAGAACACCCACACATGTGCATCAAATCCAAAATCCACATTCAAATATACACAATGTATTATAACAAGCTATCACACAATATTAGATACATTAAGGACCAAATGCTTCCAAATGGCACAATGTATTGTAGAATAGCTGAATGACAAAATTGAAGTAAAAAATGTTTTAGGATTATAAACATAGGGCAGAAGGGAGGAGTCAACAGTATAATGAGTTGACTGCCAGTAACATTCAGATAGCATAAAGGTTCCACATGGGCAAGTAAAAGAGATGCCACAGAAACTCAGCATACAAACCTTGCAGGATATTATTGCTTGTGTTGGGTGGGTTCAGGTTAAAGCTTTGGTGCTTAGTGAAAAAAGTGAACCATACCACTGTGAGAGAGGCTGTAATAGGGACTATGGGGACTAGAATGAGAGTCACGAAGACCAAAGGCTAAAAAAACTTAAAAAGTTAAGTAGACCAGGTTATAGCAACCACCCATTGCTTGGTAATCAAAGACTTGGACAGACAAGAATAACCTAGAGTTATTGCATGTAGGTTCAATGTAGACATTTTTTTCTACCATTACCTACTCACCATACTTTCTGCACTGTGTTTCTGAGTGGGGGTGGTCATGTTGGTACAGGAACAGAGCTTTACTTCATGTCAGAGTTGCCCTCTAATGACTGGTGATCTGATAACTGGTGGTGTAATATTCCATAGGCAGCACAATAAGTTCACAGATCTAAAGGATGAATGCATGGGTTTGCATGCAGTGCAAATTCTTCTCCATTGTTCTCTGATTTGGACAACAAATACTCCTCTTCTCTTCAACTCCTGTAAATAGAGTATCTATGGAGGAGCAGCATTGTCACTGTAGGCTGCTCTCCTGATTTGGTCTACAAACACTTCCTCCTTTAATCGTCTCCATTACATTTTTACATTTTACTGTTGTGTGGTGTTAACATATGGCAGTAAACTACAAAGGTGGTGTGAGGGGCGAGGGCTTAAATGATTAACTGTCTGGTAACTCCATTCTATTTTAGTAAAGTTACTAAACGAAACTCAATCCTTAAATTTCATTCCTAAGTCTTTCTATCAGGACAGATCACTATGAAGCGCGCAGAAAAACTTGGGGGTCTATTCACTAAGCTGCCGTAGACAGCCGTGTGAACAACCGACCTGCAGTGAAGTGAGCCGAACGCTGTTATATCGGCTGAAATC